GTAGATCCGTATCAACTTTTGAGCGATTTCCGATGACCGGAAGTGGTACTTTTTCTACTTTGAATTTTTCAAAAGCCTATAACTTGAGTACTTTTTCAGATAGATAAATGAAATTTCACGTGTAAGTAAAAGATCTAATTCTCTACCTTCTGTTAAATTTTGAGTAATTTCCGTTGACCGGAAGTAGTAATTTACGCTACTTCCGATTTCTCAAAGAAACTAATGTAAATTTTAAAAGTACTAATAATATTGCGCACTATTATGCGCTTTTTTATTTGGCGTTCACTTGGTGTGCAATTAATTTGTCTACGAGATTTTATTATATTTTTAAAACTTTAAGTATTTAAAATTGATTAAAAATCATGTCTATAGCCCGAGTTCACATCCCCTGTTATTTTATATAAGAATATTCAAGAAAGTTTAGGGGAGATCACTCCCGGTTTATTATACCAGTTAATGAAATTTTTAATCCTGCCAAATCCTTTAATGTAGTCAACAGCATAAAGTCTACTGATGTTAATACACTACGATCAGTGTCTGTTTGTAGTTTCCCCTCTCTACATCCACGCTAGCACACAGCTAAATGTAACTAACACAATGCTAGAGGCTTGAGTTACGAACTTAATGAAACAGCAGTGTAACAATACCTAAGCAAGAGAAAAAAAACATTGACATCTAAAAAATAACACATCGTGTGTCAGGTTTCGCTTCTCGAATAAAAAGGAAAATTCAATTAATTTTTTTTTACTTTTATAATGAATGAGTAGATTTTTTTTTATCTTTCTTCCTGTTTACTGTGTTTGGTTAAATATAGGGTACACAGTAGAACAAGCCCCTAATAGTGTATACTGTTGAACCCGACGAATGAACCCGTTTGAAGGAATGAACCGGATTATTATGGTGATTACAAATTGCCCTCTCTGGAGTTCTTTATCGTGGTTTGTGACAACTTTCAGGTGTTGATGGAGATTATATCATACAGACCTGGTGACATTGGTGACTCAGGCACCGCTAAGTGTGACTCCAGGATTTCCGACTCATGTATGACTCCGCTACGTGTGTTTTAAACTGTCGCTATTATATTCTACACTACGTTGTCTCTCCTGAATTAGACTCATTCAGGCTTTCTATTCACTCAAGACTTGAATTTCTGTGTGATTTGTGACTTCAAGACTTTTATCTGGTATAACGAAAAATTTAGTTCAGCAAACTTCTGGCACAGAGTAAAACAACCCCCACACTAAAATATCACAATTTTAACCGTTTATTATCTTATATAGGACGGCGTGGTATAAGCGGTAGAACGCTAGGCTACTAACCCGAAAGTCTCGAGTTCGAATGTAGGTCCAAGTCAGTAGAACGTCCCTGAGTACACCCAGATTTAATGGGTACCAAACTCATGTTGAGGAAAGTAAAGGCTTCTGGGCAAAGTGCTGACCACACCTTCTTTTCAATTGCCGAGGCCATGAAAGATATAAACTCGACTACATCTGCCCAATGGATAAATACGTCTAAAACAGGTTCTTTACTTTTTACTTTATTGTCTGATTTGTTCCATGCCTCTAATTAATTCAATATGTCAGAAAGCGCCCCACATCTCTTGTTTTAATATTGTTTTTCTAGGCTGTATTTACGCTAGCGAACATCACAGTAAACCACGAGCTTTGAGCTGAATATCAAAACAATCATATTTACTCTTTATTACGCTAAAAAAATCAATACATCGCGCTCATAAATCAATCATCGTGGGAAAGACTAATCGATACAAATCTCAATTATTAAAAAAAAATCTGGCAAGCTGTAGTACACAACTTCTAGGACTTCCTGGCAACCTTCGGCTCGGCTTTACTCGACATTTCCGGTTTCCGGTGCCAGAGACGAGAGACCTACAGCGCCTTTATTCGCCAATAACCGCGCGCTAATCGCTAATGGGAGGGGGAGATAATTAATGCGGGGAGATAATTGCTAGAGGCATATAGCTTTTTTTTTTAACGTTTGGTGAATAAAATGTCTTTTCTAATGGTATTCGAATTTCGCAGCTGTTTTTAGTGATTTAGATATTCTTTAGTGAGTTGTGTGATTGATCATTTAGGGGAGGGGTTTCAGTGTGTGATCAGACGTTGGTGTAGTGTAACGTCAATTTTAACAAAATGTGTCAGGGAACAGGCCTGCGGTAATGAACACTGAATGACTCTACTTCACCTGCTCTTAAAGATAATCCCAACGCTGGTCAGACGGGCACCATAAGTCGGTTATCATTGGTTTACTTACAGATGTTTAGCGGTTCTCTTCTAATCGCTGTCCTAATCTTAACGTGAGCACCTAGCCGTAACCTTAATCCAAACACTAACAGCGAACTAAAATTAAAAAGCAGGAAGTTACATTGTACTTGAAATTGGGGAGGTTTTTACAACAGCCCAAAATACTCTTTGAAGGCTCAATACCTAGCCGTAACTATTACCTTGGCTGTCCCAACAGTCGTCACGTCTCTGAAGCAGAGTTTCTTCCAGGCATCTCTTCGGAGGGGGGCGAAACTTCGCCCCCCCCCCCCCCCCCGAAAAAATTTTACCGCCCCCCCCCCCGAACGAAATGAAATTTATATAATTTATATAGAAAATATATACTTTTAACAGTGTCCGCCCCCCCCCCCCCCCGAAGAAAGTTTACCGCCCCCCCGAAGATTTCAAGTGCCCCCCCCCCGGAGGAAAACGCCTGGAAGAAACACTGCTCTGAAGTATACGTTCAGACCAGAAAGTCCATGTAGCAGAGGAAGTAGAGTGAACCTGTTTTACTGATTACAAGAGTGATTAATTCATACAAAGGGATTGTGTGATCTGCGCGATAACCCGCTTAACTCGATTCAGGTACCCATTAACATTTTCTGGACTCATGGGATCCTACGGATTCGAACCCGTGAACATAACTCAAGGCTACGGGTTACTCATCACAATTGTGTGACTTACCACTCGACAACATGCAATACATTGCTGATGATGAACTAGCAGTGTCGTAAAGACTACATTCTTAAATAATGAACATCACTTCTAATGATGTATGTTGTACTTTTAAGAAAAGACATCCTTAAATAATCATTTTAAAAAATAGAAATTCATGCAATTGTAGAGAAGATATCTAAGCGATCACTTAACTACTACAACAAAAATCACAACTCTTGTTGTGGTTGTTGTTGTTATGATGCTGTTGTTGTTGTGACGTAAAAATAAACTACCGCTCTGAATTACCAGATTTAAAAAAGCACCACTAATTATGCTGTTGCTTGTATTTTAAAAAAACGCCATCCTAAAATCCACTTGGAACAAAAATACTAATTATATTGTTGCTTAGATGTAAAAATCACATTCTTAAAAAACTTCCCTAATTATTAATCATCTTTAATTATGCTTCTCCTATGCAATCTAAAAACCACCGCTAACAACGAAAACGCTACTAATTAAATTGTTGCCCAGATTTAAAAAAAACAGTCCAAAAACCCACCTCTAACAACAAAAACACCATTAATTATGCTGTTGCTGAGATGTAACAACCACCATCCTAAAAACCCACCTCCATCAAAAACACGACTAATTATGTCCTTGCCGTGAGACGTAAAACCTTGTTCAGTTGTTGGTTTTAATCCTCAGTGGCAATTGTACGCGTCTAACCGGCGTTATGACGTGTTTCCGGTACGGCGGTGTCTCCACTCATGCGTGAAGCGATCGATGCCGTCTGTCAGAGGCGGACAAGTTGGGGGGGGGGGGGGGCGACGGTCACGTGACGTGACAGTGGCAGACCCGCCGTTCAGTTGGACTCGCCGAGAAGCGGGCAGCAAAGATACAATAGATGTGTGTATCTGAGCACTCTAGCACTCAATGCATGTTCTAATGTTTACATGAGCGGTTCTAAATGTGTGGTGCAGACAGACACTTGTACGATTTATGTTGAGTTTTCTGTATAGGTGAGCACTCAAACACAATGCATGAACTAATTAATATTTACAAGAGTAATTCTAAAAATAGAGCTCCAATTTATGTTGGGTTGTGTGAGATTCAGAAAATTTTAAATTGTGTTGTCTAGCGTGTAGAGTGTTACATGCTCGTCTCTGAATAGTGATATGATCGGTGGATCTTATGTGTAGACTACCAAATAGACTATACAAAAATAAAAATGGTAGCTTGGAGAGGTGGGTTACGATTGCATACCAAGCCCATTGCACCACACAAATTTTAACAGTTTGATTTTCGCTTCACTCTGGAAAGACGGAATTAGTTGCGGAAAGAGTAAACTACATTTTTCACTTAATTTAGGTTTAGACATTTTCAAACTTTCAAACTATTGACAAGGGGTCGGCGTGGTCGAGTCGGTAAAAGCTCATGGTTGCTAAACCGAAAAGTCTCGAGTTCGAACCCTCGGGCAGATGAGGCTCTTCTAGGATAGACAACTCCAAAATCAAGCAACTGCTGGCTTGTAGTTTGTTCTTGGTTGGACAAAGGCTATGGAAGCAAATCCTAAAAGAAAAGCAGGCTGAAATCGGAGTCAATGGCCTCAGTGGCGCATAACCAGTTGACACGTATCCTTAATTGTGATGAAGGCGTGGTCGAGTCGGCAAAAAGCTCATGGTTGATAAATTCGAAAAAGTCTCGAGTTCAACCCTCTGGCAGATAAGGCTCGATCCCTTCCAACACTAAAAATTAAGAACGAAGAAGAAAAAACAATTGAAAACAAATTCAGATTAAAAAAACAATGTCGACATCTATCAAATTTCGCAGTACATTATTCAATTGTTAAATTTTGCAATATTTTAATTGGAGACGCATTATTCGATTCTTTTATATTAATTACGTTGTTAAACATCAATTTTAGTTTCATTATTCCAATTAGAATAAATGTTAGATTCTGTTTGGTTTGGCCAAGCTTCACTAATAGATGGTCTAATTATATTACACATAGTTGTGAGGGTTTTTAGGAAATGAAAAATAAAAACTTTGAAAAAACTATGAATGTTATATAGCCTTCATCCTACAAGGGTAAAACTGTTGCATCCATTTAGGAACGAAAAGTTGGTGGAACATGGATTTGAACTTGGAGTTCATGGTGTAGTAGACGAAAAAATTGGAACAGGAGTTGACGGCCTCCAGGATGAATGTGATGCTGTAGACGACGTAGAAGATGTTCCGGTACTTTCCCGTCAGGCTGAAGTCCGTGCTCACGTCCGTGAGGATCACGCTGATCACGGACGGCGTGACACTTATCAAGAAGATCACGGAGAGGATGGTGACCATTTTGACTGCTTTCCTGGCTTTCCCGGTGATGTGGTACTGGCCATTTGCCGTGGCGACGCTGTTGCTCTCCCGCCATCTTGCCTTGCGGCTGAGCGTCGTGGCGATGATGACGGTGCAGGCGAGGACGACGGCGAAGGAGCTGATGGCCGAGAGCGGGTTGGTGATGATGTTGGTGACCCTCGTGACGCTGAGCGCGGAGTCGGACAGGCTCAGCCCCAGCATAGTGAGGTTATGGGCGGGGTAGAACCGCCACGCCAGGCCGTGGGTGGTGTAGGTAGGCAGCACGCCGGCCAGGACCACCGCGTACAGCGTAATCAAGACGGCCTTGACCCTCCGCGGGGTGACGACGACCTTGACCTTGAGCGGGAGGGCGACGCAGAAGCAGCGCTCGAGCATGATGTAGGCGGTGAGCCAGCTGGTCAGCCGGGCGAAGATGGTGTGCGGCCAGCTGGCGGTCAAGAACTGCGCCTCCAGCCCCACGTACAGCACGGCCGGACCCCGGAAGTGGGGGTCGCTCATGACCCCCAGCCAGTATAGGGGCAGCAGGGAGCAGAGGTCAGACACGGTCAAGGCCAGCAAGCTTAAGTTCATCGTGTCCTTGAACCCTTGTTTGATGAACAAGACCAGGTTTAGAGAGTTCGTCACGATACCACAGCTCGCGATTACAAACATGATGCAGAAAGCAAAATAAATGTAATCGGCTGTGAAGGTATCGTCTAAAACCAAAATATCCGATTCCACTGAAGGTTCGTATTCGATACGTGTTAGGTTCTCAATGTTACACTGAAATATCGATTCTTCCATTCCCGGAAGAAAAATATGAATTGTGATTACTACGTTCTTTTATAGATTGTGTTGTTGTAAAGCCAGCTTGAATTAAGCTTGGAATTACGAGTTACACCGAGGTTTCATGTTTTATGAATAGTAAATAGGAAACCATTTTATAACGTATAAATAATGCTACAAATTGAAAATTGGTGTTAATTTTCTAATGTAAAAGTATTGTTAGGAATTGTAATTTACCAGCTAAATGACAATCTACTTCACCGTATTGTTTTGTTCTAGTTTTTGAAATGATAAACTAATCAGCTATCGCATGTACGTAGAGGCTCAAAGTTATACTTCATCTACATGTATAGGGTATAGTAGTAGATTTTATTTACACTAATCTCTCTTCCAGTTTATTTCCAAGATTTTTGTTTTTAAAAAAAAAAAATCATTACTTTTATCCGTGACTGAAAAGTTTAATTATGATTCACTTGCCGTTTAAGGTATATAAATATTTTTTTAATTAAACTAAAACTTAAGTAGTAACTTAAAATATGTTAATTAAAATATGCACGGAATGTCTAGAAATTTAGGCAAATATTAAGACTGAAGGATACGCTTTTCCGCTGAATAAAATGACATTTAATAACTCCAAACATTCTTCTGTCATTTTTCTGGTAACAAAATTACCAACATAGCTGAGTCATTCAAATTTTTAAACAAAGAACTCAACACGGAAGTTACCAATTTGTTTAATTTTTGGCTACAGTGTACACACATTTATCTAGCTAGTTTTAAAAACCTCGCCCAAGCAAAAAGCAAACAAATAATTACTCGGTAAGATTAAAGTAAACTTCACGATAAATCTGGCTCTAGATTTGTCCTCGACAACCTTTACTTCTAATTACTTCGTGTTTTTTCTGATTAAACAAAAACTTCGTTTAATTAAAGACAATTAGTAAATCTACTGAGTTTGTTATTTTAGTCAGCAGGAATAAAATCCATCCAGAATTCGCGCATGACTGTTTACAGGTAAACAACTTTGAAGCTGGATATTAAATTATTAAATAGAAAACATTTTGTGTAATATGTAAACAATTATGTTATCGTTGCTTTCATACGAAATGCATGCTATTTTTATAAATGACGTCATAATAATCACTTTGAGGGTATCTTTATATAATGAGCTCTCAGGGCATGTATAAGCACTAAGTTAATTGTCATTAAGGTCTACCAATTTGTTCATTACGGCATGAGTGAATAAAACAAATGCTGATACTTAACAAGTTTTTAGAAGAAAAAAAAACACGTTTTAAAGTTTTAAAATAAATAAGTATCTTTAAAAAGAAATATCCGTAAAATGTCAAAAAATTTGAAATGGAGTTGTCCTTCCCATCCTTTAAGCAACCCCGTCAGTTGAAGTACAGTTCCATGAGGCCGCGATATAAGGGGATCGTGTGGTCAGTTCTATGCCACGTGCCAATTACTTTCCTAAAGTCAATCAGATTCTCATCAGGCCTGAGTCGAATCCGGGATCCGAACTCGAAGATTTTGGGTTAGCTGTCGTGCGCTCTACCGTCCTACCACTGCGTCAATATGTCAATTGTGTTCGTAACAAGATTTCTTCTTCGGTCTTAAAAAGCAAATATTAAATAATACATTTATTATCTTATTAAAATATTTGGAATAAAAAGCAGTACATCTATTAAACTATTGTTGCCATTTATACTTAGTTTGAGTGTAAAATTAATATTGGCTCTGTTTTATCATCAATTCTTTTAGTAATTTATTAACAATAAGTTTAAGAACAAATAACATTCTCAGAGATTAAAATGTTTACTCATTTCAAATGAATCAAGTACTTTATGTGGTAACACTAGATGCTATTTTAAGACATACGACTAGATATTAGATATCCACCCATTGTGGACAATGAGATGAAGATGGAAGATTCAGAAAACAAAATATGTTTAACAAATACATGTTTTATTCAAATAATCACATACAACCACTACTATTGACCGGCGTTTCTCTTTTGTTTTCTAATTGTCGTGGTTATTTTCAAGCAGTAAATTTTCTTTAGCTGTAGTTTAACATTTAATCTGAAAACGTTGCTGTCTATTTTTTTATTAAAAAATACATATATTAAGAGCAGCCAACGCTTTAATTTTACTATTTTTAAAAAGACATCTATGTTTTATTTCTTATTTTAAGTGCATTAAAAAGTGTATAATTGTAAGGTGTTTTAATTTTAATACGTAGATCTATATAATATATTGATTTCCTGACCAGCAAAAAGTGGAAATCAATTATTCAAGTTCTCGTGAAATGTCGTGAAAGAGCGTGTCCACGAGATCATCGGAGCCACGCTTCATTAATTTATTAATTTTCTTGACTAAGAAAATAAAATGTATTTTAGTTTTTAACCATCTGTGTATCTTCACAAGCACAATAATTGACCAACGTTGTAACTTTACCAGCACAATAATTGACTATCGGTGTAAAACTTACCAGCACAATAATTTATCATCGTTGTAACTTTACAAGCACAATAATTGTCTATCGGTGTAAAACTTACCAGCACAATAATTTATCATCGTTGTAACTTTACTAGCACAATAATTGACCATCGTTGTAACTTAACCAGCACAATAATTGACCATCATTGTAACTTTACCAGCACAATAATTGATCATCGTTGTAACTTTACCACCACAATAATTGACTATCGGTGTAAAACTTAAGCAGAACTGTTTAATTAGAGTTTGCCGCATGAAAAACATTAGATTTATTACTTCCCCTAATGAAACGACGCAATGTTTAGACATCCTTATAAACGTCCTAGCCTACTGTAAATGTCATTCACTTGTCATTTACCTGTCATTTAGTACCCACCATCTGCGCCAACGTGCGCCGATATTTGGTGTTCATCGAATAGTAAACAAAGAAGTTTGACCCCGAGTTGATGGCCTCCAACAAAAACGTGACGCAGTACGTGATGAAAAACATGTTCCGGTACTTGCCGGTCAGGCTGAAATCTTCCGTGACGTCCGTGATGATCACGAGGATGATCGACGGCGTGACACTTATCAGGAAGATCACGGCCAACATAGTCACCATCTTAACGGCTTTTCTTTCTTTGCGCGTGACGCTTTTTTTATCGTCTCTTTTGCTGGTCGTCTGTTTCCGCCATTTTGTTTTTTCGTTTAACTTGCAGACGATGACCGCGGTGCAGGATAGGACGACACAGAAGGATGTAATGGCGGATAGGGGATTGGTGAAGATGTTCGAAATTTTCGTGACGTCCCACGCGTTGTCTGTCAAACGTAACCCCAGCATTGTGGTGTTGTAGTTAGGGAAGAACCTCCACGCCAGGCTGTGGGTGGCGTAGGTGGGGATCACGCCAGCCAGGACTAAAATATAAATCACGATCACGGAATACTTCGCTCGGGTTGGGGTGAAGATTAGTTTAACTTTGAGGGGCGTGGCCACACAGACGCACCTCTCCAGGGTGACGTACGCCGTGATCCAGCTAGTCAACCTGGCAAAGATTGTATGTGGCCACCCGGCTGTCAAGAAGTTGATCTCCATCCCCACATACCACACGGGTGGCCCGAAAAACTGGGGCTCGGCCACCAAACCCAGCCATATTAACGGAAGTAGGGAGCAGAGGTCACAGACAGCCAATGAGAACAGGCTGATGTTCATGGTGTCCTTGAACCCTTGCTTGATGAAGACGGCCAGGTTAATCCCGTTGGAGATAATCCCCAGACAGGCCACGGCAATCATCAGGCAGAAAGCGGTGAACACGAAATGGGCGGTCACTTCATCGTCAACGATAAAAACATCAGCAGACATTGCTAATGACTGGTCAGTATATGTGTCATTTACCTTCATTTTGTTTTCTCAGTCCTAGACACACATGGGAAACTAAAATTTGTTTTAGCACAAAAACTATGATTTCTCACATTTAAGATGGGATTTCTCTTATTTTGTTAAATATATAATTTGGTATATCTCAGTTAACACACAACTTGTGATATCCTCTGTAAAAAAAATTGTGGGGAATTCTCCCACATACTTAACATGTAAGTGTTATTTATTATTTGCTGTTTGGTTAATAAATATTAGTGGTGATTTATTCTATGTATTTAACATTTGCGTCATGATTCTTCCATTTTGTTAGCACATATGTTGTGATTTCCCATATTTAGCTAAGACCAACGTTGTGATTTCCCATATTTAGTTAAGACACAAGCTGCCATTTCCCATATTTAGTTAAGATACATGTTGTGATTTCCCATATTTAGCTAAGACAAAACTTGTGAGAACCCTTATTTGCCCATTTCTCACAAAGTTCTGTTAAACGGCATTACATCATACCTGTACTGACAGGAAACTGAATGTAATTTTTTAAACTCCTGCAGGAACTGTGTATCTTAAGACAAACTAAAAACTTGAGCACTTGAAGAAAAACAAAACAAAGTTCTAAAAAAAGTTTCACTCGGCCTATGAAAATACAATGTTTTGAAGGATAACTATATCAAGCTAGAACATTTTTTTAGATACGGAATAAAATCATAAATATTTTATTTGAAGAATAACATTTCAAAATAATCAAGGTTCTACTATGATAACTGTGTCAGTTGTACTCTAAAGTTAAACTAAAAAAAAGGAACAATTTTTGTAATAAGATATATTTTCGTGTTGTTATTCTTATGATTAAAGAAATTAAAGATAAAAGAATAGTTTAAATAATTTTTTTAAAAAAAGACGCTAATGAAATGTGCACTTAACATGAATTATGCCACAGATATCGAGCAAACTCTCTATTTTAACGCGTACAAAAAGAATGAAATCCTCGCCTCAATTATTTAACAAGATAAATAAGGGCACAAATTTTTTTCTTTAATCTTATTTTTTTCTTTAAACTTTTTTTCTTTAAACTTTTTTTTCTTTGAACTTTTTTTCCTTTAAAGTTGGAATCAATAAAGTCATCAAATAATCCCACCAATTATCTACTTAAAGACACACCCCCTGCTGTTCGTAAGTCCATTTCTCTGTTGTCAGCTGAGAAAAGGGGAGATAAATGCCGCTGACGTATTGAATTCTTCCAACTTAATTTTTTAAATTTTAAATTGCAGAAAAAAAATGTGTTTGTTTCGCTTCAGTGATGTAGTTTATTTAAATACGATAATTAGCTAATTAACCACCTTTCTTTTGATTTTATGTTTGACATAATTTTATTTCAGCTTTGTTATTTGTTAGCTTTATTATATTGCTCTAGCCATTTATAAAGTTAATCTAATTATCAAAATTTTAAAACAAAAATGATATTTGAAACAAAAGAAATTGGATCGAAATTGTTTTATTAAACACCGGAAAATATTTTATTAGAGTCAATTCGAAAATTGTTTTATTGTTACCGCTAAAAATGATAAAAGCGTAAAGTGTAGTTTTAAAACTTTTGATAAGTTTTCATTACATAACTTTGTTATAGTGTAACATACATGGAGAGTAAAATTTCAAAACTAAAATTTGAAAAAGTTTTAGAAAACAATGTACAAATTATTTTTTCAGCCAGTAAATACCACAAAAGGTTACATTAATTGTATATTATTTACTTGAAGGTAACGTTTTGTGGTAACGTTGATCATGTACAATTATTTGTAGTAAATTAGGAGATATGCAATGTAGAATAGTTATAAAAACAAATTACGTTTAAATCGTTACATATTTCGTTTTTATTCACGTAAGCTCATTATTGAGGGCTGTAACTGTATAATGTAGATACAATTTTATCTAATGTTATTACCTGGACAGTGAGATATAGCCCTTAAATATATATATATATATATATATATATATATATATATATATATATATATATATATATATGTTGACATAAATAAACGTATCGATTACCATGTGTTTGTCAGATGTAATCTCCAAACATAATACAGAATGAGGTAAACAACAAACGTATCTTAAAGGTTAAAGGTTAAACGGCCACCCGTGCCTAGCGTTTTGATGATTTAATTAACATTATCGTCGTGCATCTCGTCTTCCAGGGGTACCTGCCTTTTGGTTATGCAGACAATGTATCTGTATCCTCTAGGATATCAGCCAACTTTACATCCGTAAGTAAAGTAAACTTTCTAACTTGACGGGCAGTGGGGAACGTATAGTAAAGTTCACCTGTTTTAAGTCAAGTACCCATTAGAGTTGGGAGGGAGGACTCGGAGACTATCTACATACTTGAACCCATGAATCGAACTTGAGACTTTCAGGTTAGCAGTCGTATGCTCTACTATCTAACCAGGAGACCTCATGCCGTCTTTTTTATTTGGATTAGCAGTCGTTTGTTCTACCAACAGACTAAGTCGTTCCAATAGTAGCTTTTTACTTTATGTTCTCATCGTGGTGCATCTTTTGTTTTTTATTTGTGTGTTTACGTTTTTTAAAGCTTTAAACCTAAAAAGTGAATGACCATTTTTTTATCTAGTTATTGTTTAGAGAGCAAGTGAACGGTATTAAAAACCTACGTGAAGAATATCGATTCCATGTTTAAAATTAATGAAGCAATAAATGTAACGTTAGACATAATTATGTCGCCATTTTAGATTGACACGTCTCACGTGCGCTGTCCAGTGTTGGGCGGTACACGTGAACTCACTCTAATCATGTCCTTTACTCTCTCTATCGCTGTCCTTTACTCACTCTATCCCTCACTCTTTCTTCCCTCACGCACTCTCTGTCCTTCATTCACAATATACCTCACTCTTTCTTCCCTCACTCACTCTATCCATCACTCACCCTCCCAGTCCCTCCTTCACATTGTCTTCTATCCCTCACACAGCCTGTTCCTCACTCACTCTATTCCCTACACACTCTATCGCTGTCTCACTTTTTCTTCCCTCCCTCCCCCTTCTTCCCTTCTCTGGTCATTTCTCCCGCCCTCTCTCTCCCTCCCTCCTTCCCCTACCACACTTATCTAACTATTTTTTTTAATTTAATTTGGTTACTGCTTCCTTCCTTAACGTTTCCTTATACACGCACACCTACTTTATAATAACATCCTTGTCTCACTGCACTTATCCACATAACCTCTAATATCTTCTTAAACCTATAATTGAGGAGTCCACTTTCAAAACCTGGTAAAGAATTATTGTTATTCCTAGATTTTTAACTAACGGAAAGCAGACATTGTTAATTTAAACTCAGATTAATTTAAACGATATTAATTTAATTTTATTTACAAGGAAATTTTAACTTTTTATATAATCTCGAAAAAAGAATAAATGTTATCACATGTGCTCTATGAAATGAGCATTGGATAAAGTGCAATGGCTGGTATGTAGATAACTGTCAAGTCTTCCCCACTGTCCAGTTATTATATATACACGCAATGCCTTTCGCCTCTACGGGTCAGAGTTCACGCAACACTTGAGTTCGTTTCTATCGACCACTTGCTGGTCTGTAGATTCTGGTCTGTAGATACATGGTGCAGCCTAGATGGCGACCCCAGCAGTCTAGAAAGCTGACTGGTTAACAAACACGTTTTTTATGATGTCGGTTTCGACAAATATCCGGGCCAGTGAGTACATCGGGTGTTGTAGCTACTCACTCATTGAAGGCTGCGTGTCTGTGCGGAGTAGTTAAATATCTGTTTCCAACGTTTAGTAAGTCATTAGTTATTGAATCCTTGTGTAAACCAACTAGCAACATAGCCAGACAGGCACTAGATTGGAATCCCCAAGGAAAGAGGGAAGTGTGTAGGCTAAAACAAACTTGGAAAAGGTTAGTTGTCAGTGAAGCAGGAGAAGCTGGAATGCCATGGGCCCAACTTGGAGGAATCGCACAGAAGCGAGTAGGATGGAGAGGCGTGGTTTCGTAACTATGCTCTGCAAATGGCCGACACAAAAGATGATGGTGTTGAGTGATATTTAATAAATCATATAGTTTTCTGTACAATGTTATGTATTCGACATTAGTATTCTATGCACCAACCATAGTATAATGAGATGGACTTTATCTTCAACACAACCAATTCAGTTAAAATCAGTTACAATTTGCTGTGAGTTGCTGAAAACATCTGAAGAAAAACTGCTCGAAATTTCCCGTTTAACTTGTAGTAGATGATGAAGTTGGAGCTGGCACTTACAGCTTCCAGAGCGTAGGTCAGGCTGTAGGTCATGTAGAACAGGTGCCGGTACTTCCCGAGTGTGCTGAACTCGAAGTAGAAGGAGGAGACGAACACAATGACCACACTGGGTGCCACACTGACCAGAAAGATAGCGGAGATCAGCGTCACGACCCGAATCGCTCTTTTATCTTTGCTGGAGAAGGAATTACCGTCTACTTTCTTTTTCCCCAACGAGACTTCCGTCCGCCATTTTGACTTCCGGTTGAGCTTGACGACGATGACGCAGGTGCAGACGAAGATGACGCCGAAGGAGCAGACGGCTGAGACGGAGTTGTTCAAGACGTTGGTGACGCTGGTGATGTCGATGGCGTTGGTGGTCAGCGTCAGCCCCAGGAGCGTCGAGTTGGCCTCGGGGTAGAACTTCCACTGCAGGCTGTGCGTGGCGTACATGGGAACGATTCCAGCCAGCACCAAGACGACAATCACCACCAAGCAGGTCACTGTGGTCTGGGGCGTCACGATCATCCTAACCCTCAACGGCAGGGCGACACAAACACATCTCTCAAACATGACATACGCCGTTATCCAACCTGTTATCCGAGTAAAAAACGCATGCGGGCCGCTAGCAGTTAAAAACTGCACCTCCAACCCCACAATCGGGTACTCCGTCTTCAGAAACCTCGGGTCAGCTAAAACCCCGACGCCAATTAACGGTAGAAGAGAACATAGTTCAGATACAGTCAGCGCTAGGAGGCTGATGTTGACGGTGTCCATCAGGCCTTGTCTGATGAAGACGGTAATGTTGAGAACGTTGGTGACGACCCCCAGTGAGCAGACGGCAAATATCAGACAGAAAATGTAGAAGACGAAATCCGCAGACAGAACGGGGTCTACTAGGAACACGTCTCTGATCAGCGCCGTAGTGGTAACAGGGTCTCCAGATATAGAGGCATTCATGGTAGTAAAGCCTAAGGTAAAGTTAAACATTAACAGTGAGTTAACTTTACAAAATCTCAACTTGGGTTTCTCTGCTGGAATACAGGAATAATAAGACAACCTTGGATACTATTATGTGCTATATTTCATAGTTACCTTAAACTAGACTATATAAGAAAAATAATTTCTACGAGCCGGCCCGCGGTGTATCATACGCCGCTATTTAGTTGTTGTTTTTTCTACTTTTCAGTAATTCATAATTTGTGAATTCGACAGTACCAATGCTGCCATTGAAAATATTTGCTTTAAAACACCCACCCCCCCCCCCCCCCCACCCACACACACACGTGAAAGTAGCCTTCTCTTAGTTACCTCCTCTAAGTTTAAAATCGTTTCAAACTAAATTATCTGCCCCTAATAGCCGTCACCAATCCCAGCTCTACGAATGTAAACATTTAGAGTGAACACCGCTCACCAGACCATGTGAGGGGGGGGGGGGGGGGGTAGGGTGGTAGCAATAGAGAGGAAGAGAGGGGACTGCAAGGCGCGCTTTCAGCTTGTTTTCTAACGTCTCCCAGAAGAGAATTATATATATAGATAACGTTTGGTTGATATTTTTTTTTTCAATTTAGTCACAGTTTTCGGATAAAAAAGATAAAAACATCCGAACTTAGGTAAATAAAATCCTAGTGAAAAAAAAGGTTTTTGTTTTTTAGCTAAGGTCACCTTTTAAATACTTTCCCCATAGGAAAACTTTCCGAGCGAATATTAAAATAGCTGTTCATAAAATAAAGATAGAGTTTAAAATCTCTTACACAACTTTAAATATGTGTACTTTAAACTATTTTTAGAATTATAATACAAAGTGTATGTAAGTTTCAGTTAAAACCTGAATTTACGAGAGTATTTATGATGCTAAGAACGTGATTATCTATTTAATTACTGTATAGTTACCTAGTAAAATATAAACTAACATTTCTATTCGTCTGTCTTGTTTCTGTTGATAAGTTGTAATCGCGATACTTAGAGATAGACTACTTGACACCCTTATAAAACAAAATTTTAATATCGTATTTTATTTACGACGATACTTAACTTATAGACTACTAGACCAACATATGAATCAAATCACAAATATCGTATTTCGGGTATCATAAAATGAATATTCCCTTTCAGAAGTAGCAGTAAGATCTAAGGGAATTATTGACATCATCAAACTTTTTACATGTCTTTTTTTTGTATCACATAAATTAACTAACCTTTTTTACAAGTGCTCGACTTATAAAATATTTACCAAGAAAGTCAAATATCTTTAACCTTGTGAAAGAAAGCGTTGGGGCTATTGATATAGAATGTTATCTCTGTTAAAATGAAAACAAAACTTTTAAAAATTATATAAACCAAACTTTATTCTGTATTTAATCCCCAAGTGTAATTCACATCCATCAAAAAGATTATAATCAAATACTCTGATAAAAAAATATATACTTTAATATTTAAAATGAAAAATTAAAATCCCCATAAATATAAAAACAATATTTTAAAATTAGATTCTTGAACACAGTTATTAGAAGCACTCAAGAGAAAGCGGCGACGATTTATGTTTATCTTAAATAATTACTATGATCCCTTGTTTGCCTGTAGTCGTAGAAAGTAAAATTTGAAAGAGTTTTTATGTAAGGCAATTCTTTGTTCTGTTTGTGTAACTTTGGTCACAGCATCTATAATTTTATTTTAATGTTAGTGTTTGTGCTAGATATTTTTTGAAGCGTTTACCTAACGTTTCAAAAAGAAATTCCGAATACAGTTATTATGTATGAGTTGTCGTTCTTTCAATAATGGTGGGCAGTTGTTTTCTTTTTAATTTTATCTTGGAGATTAGTAGCTTGTTAGATTACGATCAAGTGTAGTGGTGTTTTGATCGTAAAGAATTTTTTTTAGCTTTTTAGATTGTGAATTGTTGAAGTATTGTTGTAATCGTACGGATTTGCAACAACTTTTAGAAAGCTAGCTATTGCCGTGTTTTGTTTACTAGAGTAGCTGTTCTTGTCACCAAGGAGATGTGCAGTAAGTGTGTTAGGCAGCAGGGATCGGAGATACAACATTTACCTTTATTGTTTGATAACGGCCATCGTTAGGTGCGGGTTCTATAACCATTAGACCTGTGTTATATACGGATTCTGTAACCCCTAGAATTGTATTACATCAGGGTTCTGTCCCACCCAGTGCGAGGGGTTTATTCCCCCTTTAGTATTGTACAAAGTGAGGGGTTCTGTTATATATATATATATATATATATATATATATATATATATATATATATATATATATATATATATATATATAGCTACCTCTGAGTCCACAGTCTGGATGTACGCCATGATTTCAATCATTGTGCCCGTAGCATCTCGCGGGAAAACATTAGCTAATGTTGCCTTAAATCTACATATTAAGTGACGCATTTCTCTCTCAGGAAATCTACACAAGTATAACTTATACATGTAGCTTAGTTTATGGTCAAGATTTTTTCATATAAATGTACAGTCTTAGTCTATAAGGGAAGTCACTGTGATAAATATATTCAGTGTACTTTACTTTGTTTGCTTGTGAATTCTAGACACTAGTATCTATTTTACGTGTTTTAGACACAATACACACATCTGCTTGATGAGTCGTGACACAATTGTTCCGTCTGGTAGTGTCTAGATTCCAGTGTCCTTTCTACTTAATGTGTCCGTACGCAATACACTCACGACTGCTAGATGTGTCGCGACACACGACAATTTTGTATGCTAGACACAATGGTCCTGTTTGCTAGATGTGTCTAAACACGATACAATCATGTGTGCTAATTCGATATAAATAATAAATAGCTTTAAAGTACTGAATTTAATTAATGAGCTTAAGACAGAAAAACATACCGTTTAATGAATGTGATAGTGGCAATCTTTTGTAGCTAAAGGGAGGCTATTGGCCTACACCGTTTTAACTTGCAATAGATTGATATATCCCAGCTCAGCACTATACTGAGATTCTCTATGATTCATTAAATGCATTAAAGTAATAGCACATGAATTATAAAAGAATTCTGTATAATTCACTTTATACATGTAGTTAAAACCAGGTTAAATCACGTATACAAACACAAATAAAACATTTACGAGCTTATACCTTTGAATTAGAGCACGAAAGCCAATTTAGCAATATATAAAGTGCTTAATGGAATAACAATTTCAATTCTTATCATCTAACGTCAATCATTGAATAAATTCTATATGTCTGAAAAAAAAAAAATATCAAGTCGAATTCAGTATAATGAATATGTTTGGCAGGATTTAGATCATATTTTTTTTAAGTTTTTTTAAATAAACTGTTTTCCTTCAAAAAAAAAAAAAAAAAAAGTCGAATTCAGTATATACAATTTCTTATATATATATTTTCTTTTTTGTTGTAACCCATATTACATCCTATTTTAAGTTAAATTTAGCATTTGAATCTTTCTAATGTATTATATGTATTAAGTTAAACCTTGTTTGCTAAACATATTTACTTATGTCTTCTTTTCTATATAATTATATATACATGCCACATTGTACAAATTATGTATTATATGTTTCTACTGATGTACTTGTTCCTAGGCGTCAATAAAGATTTTAAAAAATAGAAAAAAAAAAAAAAAAAAAAAAAAAAAAAATCATCTAATAAATTCTACACCGCCCCCCCCCCCCCCTCACCCACCACGCCGAGGGAAAAAAAATCCTTTGAATCATCATTTAAGTACACATTTGCATTTTCTTGTTGATTTTTATTTGTTTTTTAATTATTTTTTTTTGTATTTAGACGTTTTGTATTAGATCTATGTATAAGTAAACCATCTCAAATGAATGAAAGTAGGCTACAAGTAAGAAAGAAATATTACTATTGTAAATCTGTATCAGTCCTCACAAGCCGATGATGAAAACTGTAATACTAAAGCGAACACACAACTGACGCTGTAAATTACATGTCTGAGGCAAAAAAACAAAAAAAAAATTAACATAATATTTTAGTCTATTTCTTATGCCATTTTTCTTTCTCCAATTTATTACTATATATACAATCGATGTTAATGTTTTTGAAAATGTGTAAAACTATAAAATAAATTATTATTACCATTTTAAATGTTTAAAATAAATGTATTTAAAAAAAAAAAATCATCTAATAAAGAAAAATTTCTTATCATCTAGATTTCTCTTTACTATTCTATTTACGTAAAGCAGTAATGTAAGCATAAACTCTCGAATATGGATACAGGACGATTGTTTTAATGTTTAAACAATAATAGTCTCAAATAAAGTGAAGGAAAACTCATATTTTAGTCATTTTCAAATGTAATAAGTAACTTGTGTTTGCTTATCTAATGTGTTTTAGAGTGTTTTTGTTCTTCTAATTTAAATTTTTGTTTTCTTTTGCGAGATCAAATGTCAAAAGAAAAAATGACAATTATTTATTTTAATACCATTCATACTATCTGACGATGTTTTGTCAGTAATGATATATATATATATATATATATATATATATATATATATATATATATATATATATATATATATATATATATATATACATATATATATATATATATATATATATATATATATATACATATATATACATATATATATATATACATATATATACATATATATATATATATATATATACATATATATATATATATATATATATATATATATATATATATATATATATATATATATATATATATATATATATATATATATATATATTCCCAAATTCCCAACGGTAGGGGTAAACTTAATTTCCTCCGGCAATCTACTGGCCAGATAATCCCGTAGATTATGTGCGTACAAACACTATAATCTACTCATCTGATGTATAGATCCCCCTGTGTATATCGACGGTTTACCTAACTCATCTCTACACAATTTATATTGTTAGTCGCATCTTTTACTGTTATTGTTATGACTGACTAGATATTGTCGAGTATAAAGAATGTTATAAAATGACTGAAGAGAATCTTTCATTTTAAGTCTTTAACGCTATCGTCATTGAAAAAAATATTATCAGGTAGTATGAATGGCATTAAAATAACTGAGTTTTTTTTAATGCAAAACGGGAAGTAGAGAATGTCTATGAAGCATAGTTTCTTCTACTTGACAGATGTGACTTGGTGGCTTTGGCTGTGACCTTGAACTTCTACATTTGACCCGGCAGGTTTGACCCGACACCCAGCGTGAAGCACACGTCGGCACGTCTGCCGGAAGCGCGAGTTCATGTTGTAGTAGACCGCGATACTGAGGCTGGAGTTGACCGTCTCGAAGGTGAAGGTCACGCAGTAGAAGAGGTAGAACATGTTCCTGTGTTTGCCCGTCAGGCAAAACTCGGCGTCGACTGACGCGATGAAGTCCGTGAGAACTGAAGGCGTGACGCTCGCCAGCAACATGACGGAGATGATCGTCACCATCTTCGTCGCTCTCTTGTCTTTAGAGGTCAGGTTGTTGGGCTGACTTCCGGGCTGTTTAGCAGACGTGGACTGTCGCCATTTTGATTTTTTGTTAAGGTTTGTTATGATGATGGATGTGCATAGGAGAACAATGGTGAAAGACGCCACGGATAAAATCGGGTTGTTGATGATGTTCGGGATTGCTGTGGCGTCGAAATAATTATCAGCGTAGGCTAAACCAAGAAGAGTCGCGTTGTACTCTGGGTAGAATCTCCATTGTATGCTGCTGGTCGCATACGTGGGTATAACTGTCGCTAGTATAACAATAAACATAACAGCTAAACACACAATTGTTTTCTCCTTAGAGACGATGAGTTTGACCTTGAGAGGTAAGGCCACACACAGACACCTCTCCGCCATGATGTACGCGATGACCCACCCGTTGAATCTGGTAAACAAAGCGTGAGGCCACCCAGCGGTTAAAAACTGGACCTCTATCCCAACAAACCACACATCCGTTTTGAAGTAAGTCGGCTCGACTAAAACCACGAACCAAATTAACAGCAGCAAGGATGAGAGTTCGGACAGTGTTAGAATGAACAAGCTGATGTTGACTGTGTCGTTGAGGCCTTGTTTAAGAAAAACAGTCATATTGATGATGCTAGCCAACGCCCCGATTATGGAGATAATGAAGATAGAGATTGAAAAAATGTTCATTAAATTTTCCGTGATTGCTGAGTCAACCACCAAAGGATCGAACTCTTCCCAGTAGACTGTATCGATAACTGATTGATTGGATTGAATTTCTTGGTGAGCTAGGCTTAGAAACGACTCCAGATTCATTGCTTGTATTCGTTTAGCAGTTAGACATGTACACATGTGTTTTAACTAAATACAGTGTAAAATCTTCCTTTGTGATTCCTATATCATAACTCTAAACATAGTATTTACACTGCTTCCAATTCAGATATTTTCTATAAATATTACATACTATCGTGAATATGACAATTATTCCTTTTTCTCTACAAGCTATAAGGCGAAATATGTAAAAGAAAACGGCTCTCATTTGGTGCATTGTGCGATACCTAAACAGTCGGTATCATACGATAAAGGCTACCGCTCATCAAAATCTGAGCTTTTATTTCTGCGTGGAATCCTTTAGATAACGAAAACCTTTTGCCGTATATCGTTTGTTTTCGTATGCCTTATTGTTTGAGTAAAAATGTTAATATTTTATTTTTAAAACAGACTACGTAGTAATTAACTGATTGGCTTTGATGTGGATTTTTGCTCGCATTCCGCCACACAATTAGAGATGACGTTGGTTTCATCCCCCCGAAGCTCATTAAAAATATTGACAAACAAAACATGAGTCACCCATAGGTGTCACATACCCAGCTCGTTATGACACGGTACAGTGTATAATTAAATTGTACTGGTGTATAATTAAATTGTACTGTGGTGTTTTAATGATAGGTGTGGGTGACTCCACAAAAGCCAGGCGTTGTTTCAGATTGTTGGGTTATTTTTGTAGGGTTTTTTTTTTGCCTTTGTATAGTGCTATGTGTTTGATAGATTTAATTGCTAGGTTTATACTTCTCGACTGCAAACTGAATTACAGTTGAAAAAAACTTTGTGATTATTCTCATTAATAGTTTTCTTTGTAAGTGTGTTTGATGTCGCAAAAACAAGTGTAATTAAAAATTAAAAAAAAAACAATCGTTGGAAAATTTAATTGTTAGAATATTCAATCTTTAAAACCTTCTGACTGTTACATTGTGTTTGTGATGTCCTTTAAACATCGCATATGTGTTGTCCTCTATACATTGTCCTCTTTACATTTTGTTTCTGCTGTCCTCTAAACATTTTGTTTGTGATGTCCTCTAAAAATTGTGTTTCTTAACATTGTGTCAGTGTTGTCTTAAGTTAGATTGTGTTTGTGAAGTCCTCTCAACATTGTGTCCTCTATATATTGTCCTATATACATTGCGTTCGTGTTGTCCTCTATACATTGTGTCTGTTCTCTTAAGTCTAGACTCGGCTGTGTCTGTCTGTCCTCTGATCCACATACAGAGAACAGTTTTGTGGACCTACTCGTGTATTTTCCCACATTCATGCCCGGAACAGTTTTAGCTCTATACACTGTCGGCGGTAGATATTATCTTTACTCGATAGAAGTTATTAAACGTTATAAGCACAATGTTTTATTTAGAAAGACCATATGAATTCGAAGTGCTGAAGTCGTTTAAAATTTGATTTTTTATAAAAGAATAAACTCCGCATAATAGTACCTCGACTAAAAGACGTTATATTGTGTGAACCCCGGATTTTGTTGGGACTGAAATTCACAATAAATCGCAAACTGTAGTTTTTTTCATGTGACTTTTTTTCTTGTACATTTTTCCTGTTACTTTTCATCGTGAAGGTTCCTTAATGTTTTTTGTTTTCCTATAAAATACCTCCGTACAATCTGGCATAGCTAGCTAGTACACTGGGTGTTCACTCGTCTCAGACTCTCATTAATGTGTTGTCTCCCTTGACTACGGGACGTACTACTTTAGTCCTTGTGTTCATTGAGTGATTCCCTCACAGTCTGAACTAACCATGTGCTAAAGTTGTGATCATTGAGTGATCTCTTCACAGTCTGAACTAAACATGTACTAAAGTTGTGATCATTGAGTGATCTCTTCACAGTCTGAACTAAACAGGTACTAAAATTGTGATCATTGAGTGATCTTCTTCACAGTCTGAACTAAACATGTACTAAAGTTGTGATCATTGAGTGATCTCTTGACAGTCTGAACTAAACATTTACTGAAGTTGTGATCATTGAGTGATCGCTTCACAGTCTGAGCTACACATGTACTGAAGTTGTGATCATTGAGTGATCTATTGACAGTCTGAACTAAACATTTACTAAAGTTGTGATCATTGAGTGATCTCTTCACATCATGAACTAAACATGTACTGAAGTTGAGATAATTGAGTGATCTCTTCACAGTCTGAACTAAACATGTACTAAAGTTGTGATCATTGAGTGATCTCTTCACAGTCTGAACTAAACATGTACTATAGTTGTGATCATTGAGTGATCTCTTCACAGTCTGAACTAAACATGTACTATAGTTGTGATCATTGAATGATCTCCTCACAGTCTTAACTAAACATGTACTGAAGTTTATTAAAGAAATATGAATCAAGTCTCAGCACCAACCTAAGCCTTGTCGCTAATCCCAGCTCTAGCCCAATTAATGATATAACCACAGTTGCTACAATATAACTTACTCTAAAATACCGGAATCAAGCCAAGCCTCTATTAAATTTCAGCGTTATAACATCTAAGTATAACGATGAATCTATAATTTATCACTATATTCAGTAGAATTTAACCCGTAGACAATACAGAGTGTGAGCTAGTAACACGTTCAATATGATTTTGATAGGTTTACATACAACCTGATGTGTTCAGCAAATTGAGGGTAGCCGGTAAATTTCGTTGCCCTGTTTACTTTTTAACACACACTTGTTTTCATAGAATAGATAACATTGTCGCCTTTTCGGGGGAGGGGAGCTGTGGGCAGTAGCTGTTAATAAAATACTTTAAAAAAACTTTTAAAAAACCACGTTTTTCTTGTGGACTAAAAAGTAGAAAATAAATTTTTCTTTTGTGCTTCCTCGAGATGTGCAGATTCTTGTGATGACTGACAAAAAACGTGGGTACGTTCACCATCAAATTTCCCGACCCATCTGCCCGACCCACGTTTTTCGTCAGTCAGCACAAGAATCTGCACATCTCGAGGAAGCACAAAAGGAAATTTTATTTTCTACTTTTTAGTCCACAAGAAAAACGTGGTGTTTTAAAAAGTTTTTTTTAAGTATTTTATTTTCTCCTTTTTAGTACGTTGCTACACATGAAAAACGTGGTTTTTAAAAAAGTGTTTATAAATACACGGACTAAAAATCTTGAGCGACCAGGATTCGAACCTGGGTTGTCGCGGCCACAACGCGAAGTACTAACCACTATACGATCACGGCCAGCGCGCTCACATCGATTGGGGCCGAAGTAACTGGGTCAATAGGCCTCCAGTCTTGTCGGTATCTTTAGAAATCATGTCCTCAATTTTATGGTCCTTGGGGCGTAATTAAATTAAGCTAATTACGGTCTCTAATTGCTAGTTTTTATGATTGCATCTGAAATTGTTAGGCGAAAGTAACCTGCATGCCAAATTTCAGATCTATAGAGCAATCAGAAGTGGGCTAATTTTCGATGTTAATTTTAACAACAAACATCCAAACAAACAAACAAACGCGAAGCTGAGTTAAGAAAAACGTGTTAAAAAATGGCGTAATATTCACGAATCAATTTACCGATAACTGAGTCATCTGTTTACATGAGATACATTGTCTCCCTTGATCTACCACCCTAGTTACGCAATAACTTCCGCTTTCTTCCCCATTTGTCACCACTCGATCTAGAATTATTTCCCCTCCCTCGCTGATAAATTATGCATTCTGTATATAATACGTTTATAAATGTAGATTTAATATGTCTTCATTTGTCGATTTATTATTTTTATGGACGCTTGTATAAACCTTGAGGTAATATTCATTGTGTTATCATTTCATTGTGCTCACAGTGAAGCCTATAAAATAAAATAAAAGTGAGTTATAGATTAAAACGCTTCAGCCTAAATATTTACAGAAAATACACTTTACACTTATGGATAAAGCTGTTTAAAATAGAGAAAACTCATGTGTTTATTCTTAAAATAATAATTTACATTAGACTTTAAGCACACATTTAAGCTGAAGTAAAAAGAACAATAAATTGAGATGTGGTGTATCTAACTCTAGATGGGTTCAGAAAATATTGTTTCCTTGTGATTTTTCAACGCAATTAACACGCAGGAAGAGCCGTTTGATCGATTTAAACAACAGTAAATCTGGTGTTTTGTCTTCTTTGTTTACTTATTTTTACCACACATCAGACCATTGGTTTTTAAACTTAGATCGCAAACATATTCTAACATTAACAAAGCAAAGATCCCCATTCGGTAAACAACCCCCCACCCCTACCCTCTCACACACAGAGAGTATTTCCTAATATCGAATGGGTGAGTCTTTTGCCCACAGCCATTACTTCTATACAATCAACCACAATATCAATTAACGACGGGGCTGACCACACTCTAATTAAATCTATCTAATTAACCCACTAGCCTAAAGTCAGTGTCACATATATCAACATCCTCCCATGTTTTACCCTGTAGTGTTGTGTAGCTGAATAACTCAACGCGTGTGGAGTTGCGGGTTCGGATCCCGTCCCGTCTAGCCTTACTGTTGTGTCTGTACATGATTGTGTACCTGTAACTACATTTGACGTTAAAGCGACTCTTTATGTCAAATATTGATATGTAAGT